CATGGCTGGACTGGACTCCAGATCTCTTGCAATCATCAAACCCCACTCCCCTTGGTAAAGATGGAGAAGAAAGGGGTCCGACTCTTTACGTGGAATTACTTCGTCATGTCAGCCCTGGGGCTCATACTTAACAGGTGGCTGCCCTTCCTATTGCCAGACCAGCTATTTAATTAGCCTGGAGGCTTCTTACTTCCCTAGAGTTCAGAAACACTGCCCAGGGTTATGCGCACAGCTAAAACAGGATCTGAATGGCATGTTCGGGAAGCCGTATAATTAAAACTGACTTAGGAGACAAGTACCGTCAGACTGTTTGGCAGAAATAGAAAGTCACCTAACTAGAATGTGTATTGCCCATATGGTTGCCAGGGACTGCTCTTTGCTGTTCTGGCGCTTTTGAATTATAGTAGATACCCTGAGGTTTGTGTTTTGCTCTGCTGTTTCTAACTACCTTCTTAAGGACCCTGAAGAGAAAACCATTATTATGCGTCTGCCATCCGGGGTTGGTCTTGGAGGGGAGGAGATGAGAGGCCAGGTTGCTCTAAGAAGCTGTAGACTGAGGTGAGCCCAGAAGCGCCCCCATGAGGTGACTGAAACCTTAACTCTTAATCAACTCAGCCTCTGAGGGTCTGAACTTCAGAACTAGTTTGTTCATCTGCCCATGGGACACCTCCACCTGGGTGATCTACAAACGTCATTGGGGGCGTGTCGTTTTGTCTCCCAGAGTGTCTTAGACAACCCGATTCCTCCACCTCTCTGCGTGGTCTTTGTGGGATGGTGGCTCACGACCTCTGCTCACCTGGTACAGGTGGACGCAGGCCGCATGCTGGCTCCTCTGGATGCAGTGCTTGGTCCAGAGGTAGACACTTCACCCAAGCAGGACCACTTACAGTTTTTCCTTGAGATTTCATTAAAAGTTTTTCTTACTTTTGGATCATAAGCTATTAAAATAAACTCAAGTGCACTACTGGCCATTTTCCTGCCACGTGAGGCAAACCTATCCCAGGAAAAAAAAAGTCCAACATTCAGAGAAAAGCTGCAAAGAGGTGCAATATGAAGAGAGTGAGCCCTTATGAATTCTTTTGCATTTCTAATCCAGCCATGACACTAGGATTTGCCCTTGGACTTCCCAGTTAATGAGCCCATAAGTTTTTTTTTTTTAATTTTTTTAATGTTTTATTTATTTCTAGGAGAGAGAGAGAGAGAGAAAGAGAGAAAGACAGCGTGAGCAGGGGAGGGTCAGAGAGAGAGGGAGTCACAGACTCTGAAACAGGCTCCAGGCTCTGAGCTGGCTGTCAGCACAGAGCCCGATGCGGGGCCCGAACCCACGAACTGCGAGATCATGACCTAAGCGAAAGTCGGATGCTTAACCAACTAAGCCACCCAGGCTCCCCGAGCCCATAAATTCTTTCTTGCTGGATGGAACTGAGTTTCTTCCAGGAGCCCTACATAATACATATCTGAGACCAACATATCCAAATATAAAACCCCAACTCCTCCCCCAGCAAGCCTGCCTTCCTCCAGCCTCCCCTGCCTTCCAGAACCTCATCACTGCTTATTCAGTTACAGCCATAAATTCATTGCCATGACCATGGTTCAGGCTCAAACCACCTCATACCTGGATTACTACAACACCCTCCCTGCCTCCAGGCTTGTCTATTCTGTGTCGACAGACAGACAGACAGACAGACAGACACACACACACACACACACACACACACTTGCCAAAATCTTTCTCGGCCTGATCCCTCCTGCTCTTCTATGGGGTAACTTACCAGGTTGCTAGGCATCTGGCCTCCCCCACATGTTAACCTCACCTGGCACCACCCTCCCCTTGCTCCAGCCAGAGAACTACTTGGCAGTTCTGACTGTCACCACTAAGCTAATGAGCATGCCACTTGGGGAGGGTGTTCCTAAACCTTTCTGTGCCATGGACCCCCTGCCAATCTGTTGAAGTCTGTAGACCCCATCTCAGAATAATGTCTTTAAATCATCGAGTGGAATATGCAGGACTATAATGCAATGATAGTTCTTTATTTAATGTTTGTTTGTTTATTTATTTATTTTCACGTATTTATTTCATTTTGAGAGAGTGTGACAGCAGGGAAGGGACAGAGAGGAAGGGAGAGAGAATCCCAAGCAGGCTCCTTGCAGAGCCTGATGTGGGTCTCAGTCTCAGAAACCATGAGACCATGACCTGAGCCCAAATCAAGAGTCGGACACTTAACTGACTGAGCCACCCAGGTGCCCCTGAAATGATAATTCTATTGAAATACACTTATCAAAAATTTAAAGCCAATTTAAATATGGTAATGTATGTGGTTCTTCATTAATGCATTAAATAGAAAGATCTACTAGTTGCGATTTTCAAACAGTAAAGAATGTAAATTAAATTTCAAGTTATTTACAACAACTGTAATGTGATGTGAATGTGCCTGATTTCTATTGGCTTCTATTTCTATTGGTGACAAACCCAGGTAAAAGTTAATATTGTTGTGATTTGCTGCCTGCATCCATAATGAAAGGAGATACTGAATTGCATGCAGAGGTTAGTGACAATGGAGATGTAACTCCTTTCCTTCCCAAGTTCAGGGGCCCCGCAGAATTCCGAACTGGGGGTTTTCCCACCGAGACCTGGGTGGGTGCCAGCTGCCTTGGCTGCACAGGCACAGCCTTGGTCTGAGTCCAGATTACACGTCAAAGCCCGGACTTTAGGTTCCTGTGCAGAGCAAGAGAGGCTCGCAGAGAGGGGGACCCTGTCTTGGAGTGACATTGACAAATGACTTCGAACCGACTTCTTGTTCATGCTTTCTTTGGAGGCAGAATGGCACAACTGTGAGGAGCTGGGCCTTCAGAGTTAACCAAACTGCATGTTTGTCCTGTCCCTGTCACTCTTCACTTGGCTCTTCATCTAGGTTGACTCAATGTCCTTCCCAGAGCTCCCATTCCTCATCTGGAAAATGGGATGATAACACGACCCCCCCCTCGTAGGGCTCTGATGAGGGTCACAAAAGAACACACGTGAAGTGCTCAGCTCTTCATCCTAACAGTGACTCCAGAGTTGGAAGCATCCATATTACCTATTGTTGTGGTCCATGTGCTCATTCAACAGGCATTTATTTTTTATTATTTTTTATTATTTTTTTAATGTTTTATTTATTTCTAGGAGAGAGAGAGAGACAGCATGAGCAGGGGAGGGTCAGAGAGAGAGGGAGTCACAGACTGAAACAAGCTCCAGGCTCTGAGCTGGTAGTCAGCACAGAGCCCGACGCGGGGCTCGAACCCACGAACCGCAAGATCATGACCTAAGCGAAAGTCGGACACTTAACCGACTAAGCCACCCAGGCGCCCTCAACAGGCATTTATGAAGCACCTATTGTTTGCCAGGTGCTTTACATACGTGGAAGTATTTGATAACCCCAGGTAGGTTCTATTATGTCCATTTAAAATAACTGCCTGCATTGGAGGAGGGGTGCTTGGTTTTCTCAGACAGTTTTAAGTCTTCAGGGATTAAGCTATCAAATAACCCCAAAGGATTTGGGGTCCCAAAATCGCTGTGCCCACCTCATGGTTATCTGAGAATTGAAAGTTGAATCTGTGTAAGAGGTTTATAGCAGAGTCTGGGACACAGTCTCAGAAAGGTTAACTATTCTTCCTGGGGACACCTGGCAAACTCTTGCACCTTTCTCAAGTCCCCCTCATCCCGACCCCTCGTGCTTCCCCATGTCTCCCCGCAAAGTGCCCATCGCAGTAGACACCCCTTTTCTGCAAAGCCCTTTCCCCACCAAGCACCGTTTCCATCAGTGCCGAAGAAACATTATGGATAAATATCATTAAGCGGTTAGGAGTGCACACTGTGGATTCAGACGCCAGTGCCAGCAGCTGCAGCTGTCGTGCTTTCTAGGAGGGGCTCTACCTCCCTGCACCTTGGTTTCCTCATCTGTGAACGGGGAGGGGGGGAGGAGGCAACTGCAGAACCCCCCCCCCGACCCCCAAATAGTTAAGAGGAGTCAACAGCAACAGCAGACCAGACACAGATACCGAGTGCCCACTCTGGCCAGCCACTGTGCTAGATGCATAGCGAGCGAGGCAGAGGACGATGAAATGCAATCACGCCTGTGACGTGTCGAGCAGTGCCTGCCACGTGCTACGAATAAAATATTACATGCTAAAAAATGTATATCTGTTAGACTTTTACACACAATATATACACGTTTGCACATTACACTTTTTGTTTATTACTTGCACGTTCGTTTCCTCAGTTGGCCTTGGAGAACAGGCAGGGCAGAGATTTTAAGCCATTTTTAGTGATGAAAAGACAGAGGAGTTGATGAACTGGTGACGGACAACGGGAGATGGCTGGGCATTTTAAAAAGAGAACCAGCGGAGGGCAATGTTCCACTTCAAATCCCTCAGTGCAGGGTGGGCCCCGATTCTCTGGCCCTGGGGTGGGAGAAGCGGTTGTGGGGAGGAATCCAGGCCTGGGCGCCCCAGAGACGCGAGCCCGCGGGACAGGATGGACACGCCCGGAGGCGCACGCTCGCTGGCGCGGAGCTTCGAGCCGGCAGAGGCGCGCACGTCGCGGGCGCGCCGCTGGGTGGCGCTGCCGGGCCGCCCCGCGCCAGACCTGTTGAGCCGAGGGCGCAACTCGGGCAGGTTTAGGGTAAAGGGGCGCTCCGCTCTCTTCGCGCGCCCCTGCGGCCCCGGCCGCCGCACCTCCCTCGGGGGGGTGCCCCACGCCCCACCTTATCTTAAGGCTGGGGTTCGTTTGGCCTCTGCGTTCCTCGCCGCAACAGTTCTAGGCTCGTCGGGTGGGGCGGGAATAAAGTTTGTCCAACCTGGACCGGGAGAGGGCTGGATGGGGAGGACCCTCCCCGCTCCAGACTCCATGGTGGGCAGGACTGTGCCCCCTCGGCTTCAAGGCTGTTCCGGGGGCTCTGCTCTCGGTAGGTGCCAGCCCCCGGGCCGACCGGATGAGCTGACCCGCGCACCGCCCCCTCCCACCCGCTTCCCCATCCCCTCCCCCGCCCCTGGCGCGCACCGGCCCCGGCGTCTCCAGCCCCGCCTGCGCCGGGGTCGCTGCAGTCCCCGCGGCCGCCCCGGGCTCCCTCCCCAGGCGCCCCGGCCTCGTTCCAGCCAAGGGGAGCGCCTCGGGGGGAGCGCCGGACAGCGAGGGTGGCCGAGGCGGGGGCTCTGGGCGCCCTAGCTCTCCCAACCTGGGAGGCGGCCCCGACTCCGGGAGCCTGAACGCAGGGAAAGGCAAGGACGGGGCGGCCGGCGGAGGGGCGGGCGCCGCTCATCAGCCACGCCAGTCACGTCTGGGGCCACCCGGCTGCCTTTTTCTTCCTTTCCCCCTTCGCTTTCTCCCCCCACTCCCCTGTTGGCGAGGGCAAAGTGGCCGTGGCGGCGCCATGCCCGGGCCGGAGTGAGCGCGCGAGGGCGAAAATGGCGTACATCCAGGTAGGGCTGAGGCTGGGGGGCAAGGTCCGCGGTGCGGGTGGGGGGTGCCGCGCCCCCTCGGGCTGTGAGCCCGCCGAAGGGAGGGCACACGGCTGGGCTCCCATAAACTTGCCTCGAGAAAAAGGGTTCCCGAGGGCACGCAACCTGTGCAGCGGCGGGGGTACGCCCCAGGAGAAGGGGCTGGGGACCCCCCACACCCCGGGATGAAGGGCCCCTGTGGACCCTGCACGCGCGCCCTCTCCTCCTCGAGAGGGAATGGGGATGGGGCGGCGGACTTTTCAGCCCCCCGCCCCCCCCCCGTACCCCACCCCTGGGGAGGGGCCGCCGGGAGGGCGGCCCGGGACACGCCAGCCACCCGGCCCGCCAGCTGCCGTTGCCGTGGTGACGGCTCTGGCTAATTGGCCGGCGGAACGAGCCTGAGGCAGCTGTTCCGGCCAGGAGGGACAAGGACGTCGTCTCTCCCGGACACTGGGTGCCGAGGGGTGGGGGACACTCCATAGGCGTGCTGTTAATGGGGGCGGGAGCAACCGATCACTTTCGGCCATTGCATTGTGGTCTGGGAGTTGTGGACCCCCATCACCTTGAGGAAACTCTCACAAGAATCCTTGGACTGAAATAATTTCCAAGCACCGTTTTTGAGGGGAGGCTGCTTTGACTACGAGACCTTTTCCTTCTCTACCAGGGGAGGTGGGGGAAGTGGCGACAGGTCAGCGCCAAGGTCATGCAGTCAGACCTGCAGTCAGACCGTTGAGCTGCTTGCTTTCTGGGGTTGGCTCCTCAGAGCTCAGCAGAGAAGCCTACGGGTTCCCGCATTTAGGGTGCATCTGGGCTTCTCCTCCCCTCGGCTACAGCTGGGGGGGCTGCTGGCCTCACAGTTCCCCACTGGTCACATCTTGTCCTCAGACTTTTCCGCCTGCCAGGAACTCTGCTCACCTGTCTTGGTCTCCTCATTCCTCTCCTGGTTTAGATTTGTTCCATTGGCTTCCATGGAATCTCTAGGTCCTCTTTTCAAGTTCACCGAAGGTCACATTTACTGTACACGTGCTGTGTGCCGAACGCTGTTGGGGGGCTATTCAGCAGTCACTTAACAAACACTTGAGTGGCCACCTACTATGTGTGGGCACTGGGGATACAGCTGTGAAAACAGCATGGTCTCTGCCCTTCAGAATGCACAATCCAGTTAGAAATAAACAGTATTAGAACATGCTTCTGTGGCTTTTAATAACCACCTTCAGGACAGAGATTAGTGACTTGCCCAAGGTCACACAGCTGCTTAGGGGTCATGGTGGGATTTAAAAGGAAGGCTGGTGAGAATCAGTGGGGGATTTGTTCAGCAGCTAATATGAGAATGGCTTGGTGATACTACCTTTCTTTCTAGAACAAGGTGTGAAACTTTTTCTATAAAGATCCAGAGAGTAAATTGTCTTTCTGGGAGGGCTACGTGGTCTGTGTGGCAAATATTCCACTCTGACCATGACGCCAGACAGCCATAGATGCGTAGATAATAGTAAATGCATGGGCGTGGCTGGGTTTCAATAAAACTATTTTATTACTTCTGATTTTTTGCAACCATTTAAAAATGTACAAACCCCGCTAAACTGGACCAGACAGAAACAGGTTGCAGGCCAGATTTAGCCTTGCAAGTCATAGCTTGCCAACCTCTGTCCTAGACTATCTGGGTTCTCCTTCTTTCTGTTTCTTTCTGGCTTGAATCAGTGCTCCTCCATCCAGTCAAATACATGAATCCAGTGGACCCGGTGCGAGGCAAGACTTAGTGTGTCTTCGCTTCTTCCTTCCCCTCTTCCTTTTCCTTGGTTTCTCTCATTTTGCACCTGGGGTTTGAGAAAGCTGGATGATTGGGCCCCTTTGGTGGCCTAGTCTCTACTCACATGGTGTCTTTTGATCGCCACACACACAGGAAATGCTTTCCTCTATGAAAAGAACAGGCGTGGACTGTTGTGAAAAAGCACTTTATCCTTGTACTTTATTTGAAGGATTTTCACGTACTTTCTTTTGTAAGTGCATGAGGGCATGAGGGCTTGAGCTTTTTCCTGCGTCAGCCAGAGAGGACAGGCTCTGGTGCCTCGTAGCATCCAACTGGTCTTGACAAACCACCTCGTTCTCATAAAGCCACAGAAAGAGTGCAGATATTTTGTAGCGGAGCAGCACACGCAAGCATTTGCATAGTCTGAGTCCAAGCTCAGCCATTCTATTAAAGAAAAGAGGTAACTAAGGTTCAGAGTGGCCCCTTCACTTACGCAAGTCACGTGATTGGCCGGTGGTGCCGCCAGCACTAACACTTAACCATGCAGCTCTGTGTGGCCCCCAAGCATCTTCAGGTCTTGCTGTGTATGGCTCCCTGTTTTGCTTTTGGAAGAGTTTGTGATTAGTGCCTGAGACTTTGTTTCCCAAGCCACAACCATTCCCTTATCACTTTAAGGATTTTGAATTTTTTGTAAGCTATCACTTGTACCATATTTATTTAATACTTTTTCCTATAAATGGACTTACTTTTTTTTTTTTTTAATTAAAATCATATTTTTTGCAAGTGTTAGAAATCGGTTAACACACAATGATACCAAAGGGAGATCTCCTCCTGGAAAGAGAAGTGAAAGAGAGGATAACTTTCTCCCTCTTGATTTGAAGTTCTGAGTTTGAGTTCGTCTCTGGGATATATCCTAATCTACCTGGTTTACTGGGCCCATTCATCGGAAGTCCCTGTGACTCTTCCCTTGAAGAGGGGGAGGGAATTTGTGCCTTGGAAACCCGTGAGAAGAAGTGAGGGTGGGAGGTGGGGCTGAAAAGGGAGGTAGCCCCACCCCCTCCACCCCCCAGGACCAGATTATGGCTTCCTTTTGGGCTCCCTGTGTTTGTGGGTGGTCATAGAAACTCTCCACCATCACCATTGGAGCAGAATTGTAAGGTAGGGCCTCCGGGAGGGTGGAGGAGCCAAGTGACATCCACCGTGTGCCTGCCTGCATGTTAGCTAATCATGGCCTTTTGGGGTGGCTTCATGGCTATTTCTGTATAGGAAGGTTTGCTCTTCCCAAGCGTGGCTGCATTGGATAGCATGACTATCTATCCACCCGCTCTGATTCATAACAGCATACGGTGCAAATCAAATCGAAATGCTAAAGTTTCCCATTTATTTGGTGTTGGTTAGCCAGGAGGTTACCAGCAGCCCGGCAGATAGCAGCACCTTGTTAGGGAGTCGGCTCCCTTCCCAGGATGGTAAGTGGAAAGATGCAGGGCTTTTTTTTTTTTTTGTTTCCCTCTCTCTCTCTCTCTCTCTCTCTCTCTCTTTCTTTTTTCTTTTCCGAGTTGATGGAATATTGCTAAACTGGTCTTGTCTCTCTTTTTGTAATTCTCTCACCCCCGACGCCCCTTGGCTTCTCCGTGGGATCTCTAAAAGGGCAGTTGGAACCTTTAAACGAGGTGGGTTAATTTGATGATTCGTGTGGTCTGGTTTTTGATCAAGAAGCGCTTGCCTTTCGTTTTGGAGTCTTATGTGGGGCTGTGGGGTCGTTGGATGTGAAGGCAGTCACTAGGTGTTACGAGCGGCACAGTTTCGCTGCGTTTCTGTGGAAGGGAGATCCCGATGAAAAGACACTAAAGCAGACAAGGTGGCTCTCCCTCCCCACCCCCTCCTCACTCCGTTTGATTACCTCTGTTTACTGTCCTGTCGCGGAGATTTTTTTTTTTTCCAAAAAAAATCTTTTAGCTTTGCTTTCAAGAAGACAGGGTAATATTCATTGTGTTTTCGAGAACATATTGTATAGCCCTCATGATGCTGTATAAACCACCCACATGTCAAGCACGGCATTCGCATAAACTACAAAAGGGAATACCTGCGAATGTTTTGCTCGCTATTAAGGGCTCCAGCGAGGTGGTGTTTGCCATCTTTGTGCCTGCAGTTGGTAAATAGAAACAGAAAACATTTTGTTCTAAGTGTTCAGCAGCAGAGACAGACCTCCTGAATGTCATTATTTCTCATCAGGGATCAGCTGCTTGTAATTTCGGGTGTTTTTCCTCTTCCTCCTCTCCCCCCCCCTCCTCCCCACTCCCCCTCCCCACTGCCCACCTCCCCCAATGGCCTCAGGGTTTTCTTTCTAGAATCTCCGATCTGCTACTGTGCAGATGGACTTGCAGGCATTGCTGTCAGAAGTGTTATGAGTCCAGCTGTTGCCAGTCGAGTGAGGACGAGGTTGAAATTCTGGGACCTTTCCCTGCCCAGACTCCTCCCTGGCTGTAAGTAAAACTGCTCTGAACTTCCTTGAAGGTGACCTCAAGACCTTTCTTTTCCCGGTTTCCGAGAGGGGGTGCGGGCAGGAGGATTGGGGTATGGAAGAGGGAAAGGCCAGGTGTCCGTTGACCTCTCTGCTGCTGACGGCGCCGCGCTCTGTGCCTCCCACGTTTTTGGGCAGGCGGGTGAGGCCGGCTGGCGGAGAGCCTGTCGTTGAAGTAGTTTCACGTCGGCTCCCCTGAGATACGGGCTGTGCAGTGCTAGGCGTGTGGGCACTTGTGATCACGGTGAGTATCGCTGCAAGTGGAGAAAGAGCTCGGGGAGCATCTGTCTGGATGCTTCAAGGGATGTCCAGGTTCCGAAGGTTTCCATCCAAGCCAGGATGGCAGACTGTCCTACCGCCTGACCCGGCGCTTGGCACATAGTCGATGCTCAATAAAAACCGCTATGTGGGCGGTAGAGGGAATGAACAAACAAATGCCTTTTTGCTGGTCTGAACGAGAACTCCAGAAGCAGGGAAGCAGAAGAGCACCCCCAGGCCCCATCCTGTCCTCCAACGCTGTTCATGTTCTCTCTGGCATCTCTCATTTTATTTCTAATTCGTGCTCCTCCCGCGCCTGCATACAACATCTCCATCTGCCAGTCGCTCAGATATTTTGGGAACGCAGTTTTGAAGCTTCTCAGCCACGTGTCTGGTCCACCTCTCTGTGGCTGAGAGAGGAGCATGGCCAGAGAGCCTGGGCTGAGTCTGGAAGTCCAGCACCGAGAAGGGGCCTGGCCATCCTTGAGGACAGGTTCTCGTGACAGAGTGGGAGGCCCAGAGAGGGCAAGAGGCGGTGCAAGGGCCCACAGCCAGAGCCTCCATGGGAACCCGGTGCTGTTTCAGCTAAATCTTGTGGAAGTCCATGGTGTCCCCTCTTTCCCTTCAAGTTGGGGGTCATGGCTCCCTCCTCTCATCTGCTCTTAGCAGCAAGCATCGAACATTTCCATACATAGCAGAATGGTCTGCAGCAGGCTCCATGCATTCAAATCCAGTTCCTCCTACTTGTTTCTAGTTCTGTGACCTTGGGCAAGTCATTACATCTCTGGGCCTTGATTTCCCATCTGTAAAATGGGGGTGATAAAAATCATAGTGTTTATCTCCTATGGTTGTTGTCGTGACTGCATGGATCTGTACACAGAAAAGCACTGCAGGGTGACTGACACCTGGTTGGCAATCATAAATGTAAGTGATTCATCTAACCCTGTCGGGTCTCGGTTTTCTCATCTGTAAAGTGAGAACAGTAATAGAACTTATTATATAGGGATGTGATTAAGCATAACCTGCTTTGCAGAGTAGTAAGTAATCACTTTTTTATTCTTTTATTATTATTTTTATTTTATTGTTTATTTTTGAGAGAGAGAGAGAAAGCACATGGGAGCAGGGGAGGAACAGAGAGAGAAGGGGGAGACAGAGAATCTGAAGAGGCCTTCGTGCTGCCAGCAGAGCCTGATGTGGGATGTGGGGCTCAAACCCACGACCATCATGACCTTGGCCGAAGTTGACCCTTAACCAACTGAGCCACCCAGGTGCCCCAGTAATCATTTCTGATATATTTCTGTTATTTGTAGATTCTTTTTTTTTTTTTTTTTTTTTTTTTTTTTTTTTAGGAAGAGAGAGTGTGTAACTTGGGGAGAGAGGAAGAGGGAGAAAGAGAATCTCAAGCGGGCTCCACGCCCAGCGCATAGCCCAAAGTGGGGCTTAGTCTCACAACACTGAGGTCATGACCTGAGCCAAAATCAAGAGTTGGATGCTCTTTTTTAAATTCTTTTTAGGGACGCCTGGGTGGCTTGGTCGGTTAAGCATCCGACTCTTGGTTTCAGTCAGGTCATGATCCTCCAGTTCGTGAGTTTAAGTCCCACATCGGGCTCTGTGCTGATGGTGCTGGGCCTGCTTGGGATTCTGTCTCCCTTTCTCTGTCTTCTGTCTCTGTGGCCCTCCCTAGCTTGTAGTCTCTCATTCTCTCTTTCGAAATAAATAAATATACTTAAAAAACTTTTTTAAATGTTTATTTATTTTTAAGAGAGAGACAGAATGCAAGTGGGAAAGGGGCAGAAAGAGAGGGAGACAGAATCCGAAGCAGGCTCCAGGCTCTGAGCTGTCAGCACAGAACCCAACATGGGGCTTGAACTCACAGATGGTGAAATCATGACCTGAGCCAAAGTCGGACGCTTAACCAATTGAGCCACTCAGGTGCCCCAGGAGTTGGATGCTCTTGACTGAGCCACCCAGGAGCCCCACTAGAGATTTTTTAAATTGGTGTAAAGATAGTGTTAAGAGGGTGGAGATGTTTGGTGAAACCAGTCATTAATCAAGGTCATTCCCATTTTCTAGTGCCCTTGGTGGCAGAGCTTGGCTCAGCCCACCCGGTATCTTGAAAGCCATCCTCAGACGGTGCCAGCTCTGTGAGGGCAGGGTTTTTATCTGTGTTGTTCACTACAAAAAATAGTTATTGACCTACTGGCAAAAATTGGATCCTGAAAGTGCCAGTCATCTGGTTGAAACCTTACAGTTTCTTTGGTAATCATTTCTGGAGGATGCCCTGTGTGCCAGGCACAATGGGATGCAGAGGCTAGCGAGTCTCATTAGTGCGCTCAGGAGGTTTTAAATCTGGTACAGGGGATAAGGCAGGTACGTAGGTCCAGCCACCCCTGGAATTGTGCATTCACAGCCTGCACACCCATATGGCAGTTCTGCATAGGGTCTTGCTATGGAAAAAATCCAGGGGTAATGGCTTCAGGCATAGCTGGATCCAGGGGCGCACATGTTGTCATGGGCATGCATTGGTGCCTTCTCTCACTCCCTCTCTCTTTCTGTTTCTTCTGTATTGGCCTCATTCTTGAGCTTGTTTTCTTTGCTTCATTCTCAATAGCAGCAAACAAACCAGGGAAGGCTCTCATTGTCCTGGTTTGGGTCATGTGCCAATCACTTTTGCTTGGAGGAAATGGGGCTAGGATCATGCCTGGATTGTCTGACCACCCTAGAGCCAGGGAAAGGGTCATTCCCACCTGACACACATGAGCTAAGCTAAGTAGACCAGGGATTTGGCAGACTTTTCCTGTAAAGGGCCAGACAGTGAACATTTTAGCCTCATGGGCTTAGTCTCTGTCTCAACCACTCACTTCTGTCGTTGTAGCGTGAAAGCAGCCATAGACGATGCATTAATGATTGGACCTGGCTCCAATCTTACTTCATTTACAAAATCAGGCAGCAGATTTGGCCCCATAGTTTGCTGATCGTTGTATTAGGCAATTTTTAAGTTCATTTATTTACTTTGAAAGAGAGAGAATGATCTGGGAAGGGGCAGAGAGAGGGGAAGAGAGAGAATCCCAAGCAGGATCCACACTGCCATCTTCGAGCCTGATGTCGGGCTCGAACTCATGAACCGTGAGATCATGACCCGAGCCAAAATCTAGAGGGGTGCTTACTGACTGAGCCACCCAGCTGCCCGTCAGTGGAGAATCCTGATGGACGTTGAAAATCAGTCAGGTACCTGTTTTTCCCAGATAGCCAGATGTTGAGTATTACAGACACATGGCCTGCGTTCTAGCACTGAGCTGGAGGGCAGTTGCACTTTACCTGGGCTGCTGACCCTTTGTGCAAGCAGGGGACTCTTTCAGGGGGTAAGGGGTTGGGACCCTTTGGGAAGACACTTTGGTTTTGCCACAAGCAGAGAGAGGGCTGGACCCTTCCCAGCAGGGCTTACACACCACACAACTCCAGAAGGCTCCATTCACCGGGTCGTCTTTGTGATTGATAACACCCAGAGCTCTGCAGTCTAGAGCCTGAACAGCGGTACATGACCTTCCACGCTTCCCAGGATGAATATCTTGCGTCCTGGGTAGCAACTTAGTACCTTTGTGGCACACAACATAATGCAAAATGTTAAGAGAAATCTGTAAAGGGGAGGCGGGTTAAATCATTCAGAAAGTGAGTTTACAGCTTGTGCTTTCCCCAGATTTATTTACCAAGTGGGCAGTTGCATGTTATGAAACAGGCAGGGAGTAGAAATGTCAAGTGTACAGGCTTTGCAGTGCTGTTCCTACTGTGACATTTGAGCGAAGAACCACAGGATGTGCCTCTCTGTGGGGCAGCAGGTGACAGATGAGCTGGTCCTTTGTGTGTGTGATTTGGGGGGACACACCATTAATTGTCACATATACTCCTATCACTTGGATCCTCCATTCTTTCCTTGGCTGGGCTGGGCTGGGGAAGGTCAGGAAAACTACAATCCCACTGGCTCTTTTTGGAGCAATGCCAGAAGCCCCTCACTGAAGAGTGACGTAGGTTATTTCTTTGTCTAGCAAGCACGTATTGCATACCTACTATGTGCACAGCTCTTACAGGCCTCACACGGGATGCCCTGCTCAGTGGTTTGGGGCATGCACCTCAGAGGCTGGTATTGCTGGACTGCATTGGGAGTTTAACAGAGGTGCAAAATAATTATCCGTCCCAACCCCCACCCCACCAGGCTTCCAGGCTTCCATTCCCCAGTCGGTAAAGGGGATGAGGGTTGTGAATAACAAAAGTAAACTCCGGATTGTTTTAAGGATGAAATGAGATTCAGACAGAGCATCTAACACAGCGCCTGGCACGTAGTTGGTGCTCAGCACCTGGTACTTTGATCAAGATAAGTACAGATCTCCCCCCACCCCCCATTTAAGAAATGTACCCTGCTGTGGGAGCTGTGACAAGAAAAGCACTCAGATCATCCTGAGACCAGATAAGTCAGATAAGAGTCCCAAGAAGGGTGTATTCATTCCTTCATTTACTGAGAAAATGGATGTCGAAGAGGCCACACGTGCCAGACTCAGTGCCAGGGCAGGGTCCGTGGTGAATAAGACACTGCCCTGCCCTCGTGGGGCCAGGACCTGGCATCAGATGCAGAAGACAAGCCGCAATGAAAGGGGAGTTATGAGAGTTGTTAAGGGGGGAAAGAAGGTGCAGGGCTAAGGGCTGATGGGCTAAGGAGGAGGTGACAGGGACAGGGTGGGGCCACTCTGGGGAGGTGCTGTTGAAGCGGAGACCTGACTGATGAGAAGGAACCTCACAGGAGATGGAGATGGGAAGAGCATCCCAAGCGGAGAGAACAGCATGGCTCGGCTGGCTGTGTTGGAGGAAGGGCTAGGAAGCCTGGGGGGTGCAGAGAGGGCAGGGGCGGCCCCCATGAGGTCTGCGAGGACTGGACCGGAGCTCCAGGGTGTGATCTCTGTCAAGCTGGGTGGGGCCTCACAGGTGGAGGTGCTCAGGTGGTTAGTTCTGCCTTCTTTGACAGGTGCTGCTACTTTCATTTAAGGGAGAGAGAGAATGCATGATACAGTATGATTGCATTTCTTTGCCTTCTCCTCCTCCACATTTCATCTGCTATATTCACTTCTTACAGACCAGGAACAGGAGGCAAGCAAGGACTGGGCATCTTCCCCCCCCCCCCCCCCCCCCCCCCCCCCCCCCCCCGCAATATGCCCGGTCTTGTCCTGGCTGTGACCCTTATATTTCTTTGGAAGAACATCAGATCAGTCTCATTTCATGCCCAGGATGCATCTGAAGACCGCCTAGAATTGGAAGCTTGCATTTTTCAAGACCAACTCCGGTGCAGGCTTAAATGTCAAGTGGTGGGTAGGGACGCAGTCTTGGAAAGTATCAATCTATAGCCACAACAGCTTAGGGGCATGTTATTAGCAGCATCCATCTCACAGGCCACGCCTCCAGTTTCCTCCGCCCCTTTCCTCTCTCCCAAGTGCCCTTACCTAGCTTTACGGGAATTGTAAAAACAGGTTGGAATAATACCAGCTAAAATGTATTGAGCGCATTCCTACTACATAACCAAGAACTGTTCTAAGCATTTTATATGTGTTAACTCATTCATTGTTCATTGTAATCATACAAGGTGGGTACTATTATTATTCCCATTTTGCAGATGGGTAGATGGAGGCACAGAGAGAGGAAGGGCCTTGCCCAAGGTCACCTAGGCAGGGTTCAAACCTAGAGGTTCTGCTCTTCATTACTACCCTGTGTCTCCCTACCCCGTGACACAGTCAGTGTTTTTGATTCTTTCAGTACTTTTCATCCTCATTGGAAGCACGTGGTATCAGAGCTGCTGCTCATTTTTATCTGTTTCTTCACATCGAACTATTGTTCGTAAATCATTCATTCTCAGCACCTTTGTAGCTATCGCCCTGACACTCGAAGAACTCTTGAGCGACACTGTTATGGGGTGTTTTGTAAATATTTATTTATTTTGAGAGAGAGAGCACACGTGCGTGTGAGTAGGGGAGGGGCAGAGAGAGAGGAAGAGAGAGAATCCCAAGCAGGCTCCATGCTGTCAGTGCAGAGCACTGTGCGGGGCTCAAACTCACGAACCATAAGATCATGACCTGAGCCAAAATCAAGAGTTGGACACTTTAACTGACTGAGCCACCCAGGAGCCCCTGTTATATAGGATGTTTTTTTAAAGATGTTAAAGTAGAGACACACTGAGGGTTGAAATAGCAGGGCATTTTTCAGCAGAAGCCATTTGCAGAAGATCAAATGGGTCTAAACCACCCTCAGGTGCTTTCCAGACAGAAGACCAACAGACCTGGTCTTGACTTTGCCAAAGTGGCGCCCCCATGTGGCAGTATCCTGAGTTAAGTATCCCTCCCCGCGGTCTGGCCTTTGAATTACGTACACTCTTGACAGATTGTTCTAAATTGGAAAGTATTTATTCAGTATCGTTTCACATTTTGTGCAAAACGTAAGATGTTATTGGGGCACCTGGGTGGCTCAGTGGGTTAAGTGTCTGACTTCAGCTCAGGTCGTGATCTCATGGTTCATGAGTTTGAGCCCCATATTGGGTTCCTTGCTGTCAGCGGGGAACCGCTTTGCAGCCTCTGTCCCTCTCCCCTCCCCCATCTCTGTCCCTCTCCCCACTCATGTGTGCGCTCATGTGCACGCTCTCTCTCAAAAATAAATAAACATTAAGAAAAAAAAGTAAGCTGTTTTTGAGAGCTTAGGGCCACCACACGGATTCAGGTTTGTCTTATTGCAAGTAGTAGAAGTTGGATCTGGGACAGTTTCATCATGGGTCTGTCCTCCAAGGGAGAGAGATGCCAGTCCCTGGAGTTTTCCTGACGACCGTTGAGACCTCTTCTTTTCCTGCAGGATGGCCAGCCGGAGCAGTGACAAGGATGGGGATTCCGTCCATACAGCCAGTGACGTCCCTCTGACCCCACGGACCAACTCCCCAGATCGAAGATGCTCGTCGTCAGACACATCCAAGTCTACCTACAGCCTGACGCGGAGGATTTCAAGTAAGCGCCTCTGCTGTGATGTCTAGTGTGCGCGGCTCAGCAGTCCTGTGCTGCCCCGCCTCTGCTCAGAGCCCGTGATCCAGCCCCGTTAGCTGGGACCCCAGGACAGGAGGGGCGGGCTGGCTTTCCCAGACCCTCGGCAGCATCCCTGCATGGAGCGGTGTGAGCAAAGGGCCTGCCTCGGCCTCCCTGGAGTGGCCAGGGCAAGGTAGGGACTGTGGCCGTTGGGGAGCTAATGCCCCGTGGAAAGGGGGCAGCTGCTACTTGGCGCCTGCTGCGTGAGATCGTGGGCTCCATGTTACCTGACTTCTCTGAAGAGACTGGCAGTCTGTGTTTCTATGTGATGCTTCCTTTGCTTTGAAACCCGACAAAATGTATCTATGGCTCACATTTTGTCTCCAGGCCCCCAGTTTGTCTGTTCTGATGTAGAGCATATGTGTTTGACCAAGTGGCATGATTTGGGTGGGGAGGAGAAAGAAGGATAAAGCCCAAAATTCCCAGCCTCCCCTCACTTCCCGGAAGTATCTCCACTGTCTCATTCAGTTGTCTGCAGTTCACTTAACAGAGGAGGGAAAAACTTAAAGTTCATGAAATAAATCCACTCCTGTGGAAATATTGGTGTCTAATCTTTCCAGGAGTAAATAGGGAAGAAAAAGGAAGCAGAGAAAAGTTCAAGGGCTTGAAAGAGTGCAAAAGAGACGTGAGGCTTCTCTAGGCCTCAGTCTTTCCATCTGAAAAATGGGAGGGCTGTTCTTGACTTACGCTGTCCAATGCATGTTGCTGGTGAGCATTTAAATGGGGGGCTAATTGAGACATGTATGTGTTATGTACCCATGATTTTGAAACCAGTACATAAAAAGAGAATTTATTTTTTTTTTTAATTTTTTTAATGTTTTATTTATCTCTAGGAGAGAGAGAGAGAGACAGTGTGAACAGGGGAGGGTCAGAGAGGGAGTCACAGACTGAAACAGGCTCCAGGCTCTGAGCTGGCAGTCAGCACAGAGCCCGATGCGGGGCTTGAACCCACGAACTGCGAGATCATGACCTAAGCGAAAGTCGGACGCTTAACCGACTAAGCCACCCAGGCACCCCGAGAATTTATTTTTTTTAAAAAATATTTTTTAACATTTATTCCTTTTTGAAAGACAGATTGTGAGCAGGGGTGGGGCAGAGAGAGAGGGAGACACAGAAGCCAAAGCAGGCTCCAGGCTCTGAGCTGTCAGCACAGAGTCCGACACGGGACTCAAACCCACGAGCAGTGAGAAAATGACCTGAGCAGAAGTCTGGCAGTCAACCGACTAAGCCACCAGGCGCCCCAAGAGAATTTAAACTGTCTCACTAAAATGTTTTTATTGGGGCGCCTGGGTAGCTTATTTGGTTAAGTGTCCAACTTCGGCTCAGGTCACGATCTCACGGTTTGTGGGTTTGAGCCCTGCGTCTGGCTCTGTACTGACAACTCAGAGCCTGGAGCCTGCTTTGGCTTCTGTGTCTCCCTCTCTCTCTGCCCCTCCCCTGCTTGTGCTCTGTCTGTTTCTCAAAAATAAATAAATGTAAAAAAAATTTAAAAAAATAAAATGTTTTTATTTTGATTATATGTCAAAAAATTTAATTTCATCCATTTCTTTTTTTTATATTTTTTTAATGCTAATTTATTTTTTGAGGAGAGACAGAGAAGAGTGCGAGAAAGGGAAGGGCAGAGAGAGAGAGAAAGAGAGAAGGAGTTACAGAATCTGAAGCAGGCTCCAGGCTCCGAGTTGTCAGCTCAGACCTGATGCGGGACTCCAGCTCATGGAGTGTGAAATCATGACCTGAGCCAAAGTTGGACACTTAACCAGCTGAACCACCCAGGCGCCCCTTCACCCATTTCTTTGTACTTTTAAGAAAATTGTGGCTACTGGAAAATTTTATATTCCCTGTGTGGTTTGTATTTCTGGCCCCCATTGTATGTCTCTTGAAGAGCACTGGTCTAGATAGTTCCTAGGTCTCATGCGCAGCTGTCTACACAGATGAATTCCATTTAGCACACAGCTGTCAGAGCACTGGCCATGCACCAGACATGGGTCTCATGATTTTCGCAGGCAGGACAGGTGTTCGAGCAACTAACAAGCATGTCATGAAAGAACAAATACTGTATGATTCCATGTAGATGGGGAATCTAAGGGTTAAACTCCTAGGATCGGAAAATAGAATGTGGTTACCAGGGACTGTGGGGAAGGGGTCTTGGGGAGGTGTTGGTTTTGGTTATGCAAGATAAGGAAGTTCTTGAGATCTACCGTACAGCACAGTGCCTATAGTTCACAATGTTGTGTGGTGTCCTCAGAAATTTTCTAACAGACTACATGTTAGGTCCTTATCACCAGAAAAATTAAATAAGTACAGAAGGCAGGAGAAAACTTTTGGAGGGGATGGTATAGGCTTATGACATAGATCGTGGTGACAGTTTCACAGATGCCTACCTACCTCCCCACTCATCAAGTTGTGTACGTTAAATTTGCACAGCCTTTTCTATGTCAATTGTGCCTCAATTAAATAGTTTTTAAAAGAAATCCCATGAGCTCATTGCTAGAATGGAGGGATGAGCAAAGATTCGAAGGATGAACTTGGGAGCAATGAACTCTGCTGGTTGATGGGCACCCCACAGCAGTGAAGTCCAAATACGGTTCTTGAAGAAGAGCAGCAGTTACCATCGAGTGAGCTCTTACCCTGTGCGTGTTCTGTGCCGACCTTTCCATGCATTGGCTCCATGAATCACCACAGTCTTTGAAGTAGGTGCTGTTATTGACTCTGTTTTACAGATGGGGAAACTGAGTCCCAGAAGCTCTGGCTCCAGAGTCCACTCTCTGAAAGCGGAGACAGTCTAGGGTAACAGCTAGAGTCAAGACTCTGGGGCCAGACAGGTTGGGCTTGACTCCTGGCTTCTCCTCTTAGTACTTGTGTCCCTTCTGGAGAGTTCCTTGTGGTTCCTGTATCCTCATCTGTCAAATTAGTCATTACCTAATAACTTGTGGAGATCAGGTGACTTGAGATATCAGTGCCTATAGAACAGAGCCTGGCAGTGATGGAGGTGACAGTGACGCCATGTTGCCTCTCTTAGACTAAATAAGAGGATCTCAAGGTGTGGAGAGCAGATGGGGAAGAGCATCATGAAAAAGAGGGGACAGTATGAGAATCTGGGAAATGTTGCCAGTCTCATGAAGCGGCCCAGGTTTGGTCCCGTACATGGAGGTATTAATTGTTATTTTCTGGCGGCTTTTTAGGTCTTGAATCCAGACGACCCAGCTCCCCACTCATTGATATTAAACCCATCGAGTTTGGTGTCCTCAGTGCCAAAAAGGAGCCCATCCAGCCCTCGGTGCTCAGACGGACCTACACCCCAGATGACTATTTCAGAAAGTTCGAGCCCCAGCTCTACTCCCTCGACTCCAACAGTGACGACGTGGACTTTCTGACGGACGAGGAGATCTTGTCCAAGTACCAGCTGGGCATGCTGCACTTCAGCACCCAGTACGACCTGTTGCACAACCATCTGACCGTGAGGGTGATCGAGGCCAGGGACCTGCCACCCCCCATCTCCCATGATGGCTCACGCCAGGACATGGCCCACTCCAACCCCTACGTCAAGATCTGCCTCCTGCCGGACCAGAAGAACTCTAAGCAGACGGGGGTCAAACGCAAGACCCAGAAGCCCGTGTTTGAGGAGCGTTACACCTTCGAGATCCCCTTCCTAGAAGCGCAGAGGAGGACCCTGCTGCTGACCGTGGTGGATTTTGATAAGTTCTCCCGCCACTGTGTCATTGGGAAGGTGTCCGTACCTTTGTGCGAGGTTGACCTGGTGAAAGGCGGGCACTGGTGGAAGGCGCTGATCCCCAGTTCTCAGGTAAGCGGGTGAGTTTGCGCTGTTTCCTGGTGTCCAGGAACTTTAAAAAAGAAAACAAAACAAAAGATGACTTTTATTTTATTATTTAAATTGTCTTTGCATTTTAAAACCTTTTTATTTTGAAGTAATTTTTGACTTAGAAGAAGGTGCAAACACAACACAGAGGTCATGTGTTCTCTTCATCCAGCAACCCCAGCAGTAAATCGTACACAACCAGAGTGCGTTAGCGACACCAGGAAATTGACGTTGTCAACTCAACTACGGACTTTATTCGATTTTTGTGGGTTTTTACATGCATCACTGTGTGTGTGTGTGTGTGTGTATGTGTGTGTGTGTGTGTTCTATGAAATTGTATCACATGTATAGATTCCTGTAACCACCGCCACCCTGGGAGCTTTTTTGTCATCGGTACTGGCTTATTTAATAAGGACCATGATTGTCCAGGGTATGAAGTGATCAGTCATTTTGACTTTCAGAAATTGATTTGGGAAAAATAAAATGAAGGCTGAAGCACAGGATGATATATGGATGTTTTTCAGGCAAATTGTGAGTTTGGCTTCTTTCCCCCATCAGCCCACAGACGTGCGGTCGGCTGCTTGGGAAGCCACCCACGGACCAGGCTCTGTCCCCAGTGGGCTGATAGCGTCCCTCCCTTGGGCATTCTGTGGACTGGAGGATGACAGTGCACGTACTGTGGGTGGAAGGATGAGGTGGAAGCCCAGGGGAAGGAAAGGACCCAGCCGGTTGGAGGCCAGTCTGGTCCATTCATGCTGAGGGTGACGATTCTGTGTAATGTAGGCGAGATTATTTTGTGTCAGACACACCAAGGTGCTCTTCAAAGCTGAACTCTGCTGGCCAGGGATTTGAAGATCCAGCATCCCATCTGGGGGACGGGTTTTAAACATTGCTCCAGTGTGTGTGTGTGTGTGTGTGTGTGTGTGTGTGTCCGCGTGTGTCCGTTCAAAGACAGATTTATCCTTCTCTTAGTTTGGATTTCCCCAGAAGAAAACCCCAAGGCACAGGAAGTCATCTATTGGGGAGGTAATACCAGAAGAAGTACCAGGAGGCAGTGGGAAGGTCACATAAAGTATACATTTTCAGGCCCCCGCCACTGGGGCTGACTGGAGCTGTGAAACCGGAAGCCAGCGTGAGACACATGCTAGGAGGCTCTCCGCCTGAGGGGTGGAGGAGCCGGGGTGTTTATACACCAACTCCTGTCAGCCACCAAATGAGGGCAGTTGGGCAGTGGGGACCTTGCCTGGCATCGCTGGCCTGTTACAGTGGCTGGTAAAGAGATGGTTGACATCCCCAGGTACAAAAAGCAGACCTCTAGATCTGACAGCTGGACGCAGATGCGTGTGCGCTGAAGTGATGGGGACCAGGAGATGGTGGTCAAGGTGTTAGCTGTGCTTGTCTAATCCCATAGCCTCCTTCCCGTCACATGGTCAGGATGCATTGGATGCTCTCCATGTGCCCTCCTCAGTATGTGATCTCAGTGGGTTTGCAGCCATTGCGAAACTTAGGATTGAAGGAGGGAGACCCTCTCTGGACCAAATGACCTCTGTGTTGCCAGCCTGATTCTGCACGTCCACGAAAGACCCTGGACGTACAGAGAATCTGGGCATCCACACACCTTGCCCCCTCTAGGTCTGGGCTGAAATGTTACAATCTCAGCAAAGATTTCCTGGCACGGCTGCTCTTGTTCGAGTCTCCAGAAATCGGAGGCCGAGGCCAGGACGTGGGTGCAGGTGGTTTATTGGGGAGGTGATCCCAGGAAGCAGGAGTGAGGGGTGAGGAGATGCAGGGAAGGAGAGAACATCCATAGTCAGGGGTACTTCTCCAGGCTGCCGTTCTGGTCCCTGCGCATGGTCAGGTGGGCTCCCACGGCCCCACGGAGGGGCGGGGACAGAAAAGAGGAAGAGACCCGGTGTGCTGCCGTCTGCCTGGGCTGAGACCGTGCCCAGGCGGGACTTTGAGACCGTCTGTAGCTGGCACCGGAGGCGGCGTCTGCTGCCTCCCTCCGCTGCCATGGTAGCCCCCTCCCGAGGAGCTCCTCATCCCCCTCCCCTGCTTTTACTTTTCCCCACGACACTTACCATCCTCCCGCAGACCATATATTCCATGGTCTGCCCCCCCACGATCTTTGTCTCTTGTGTTCAGTTCTCTGCGGCAAGCACCTACAACAGCGCCTGGCATGTGGTAGTGGCTCATAATGGTTGTTGAATGAATGAAGGATGGAAGGAAGGAAGGTTCCCCCCAAGTGAATTTTTTTTCCCGCCTGCTACCCTCCCCTCCCTTCCTCCTCCTCCTCCTCCTTCCTTCTCACTCAAAGAAAGTCTCATGGAAACTGACGGAGAGAAGAGCAGACTCTTATCTCCCCTTTCAAGGCGGCTCTGGAATTTATGCTTTGGGGGTCCCTGTCTGGCTTGGTTGGAATTTATACTCTGTGAGTAGAAAGGCCAGTTTTCTGAGGTTGGGTTCCCTGAAAGCAGAGCTTGAGACAAGGATTTGGCTGTGGATTAGTTTGCAGGGCCGCTGTGACAAAACGTCACAAATTAGAGGTTTAAAACGACAGAAATGTACTGTCTCACAGTCTGGATGTAAGAAGTTCGAAAGCAAGGCCACGCTTCCTCTGAAACCTGTAGGGAGAATCCTTCCTTATCTCTTTCTGGCGTCTGGTGGTCACTTCAGTCTCTGCCTCCGTCACACGTGACCTCTCTGTGTGTCTGTGTCTTCTCGCTTCATATAAGGACACCGGGGGCCCACCCTACTCCATTATGTTCCCATTTCAAATAATTACATCTGCAACAACCCTGTTTCCAAATAAGGTCTCACATTCGGAGGTGCTGGGGGGTTTAGATGATAACATATCTTTTGGGGGGGGTGTCGTTTAGCCCAAACCTGAATGTAGAACACCTTGCAGGAGAGGGAAGAGAGCCGTCTAGGGAAAGGGTGCGAGCCCAGCAAGGACATGGTCTTAACCAGGCCTGGCCTCGGCCTGATCTGTGGTGGGGAGGGGACTCCGGATCGTGGGACGGCGCTGCAGTGTCCTTCCTCTTTCAGACCGGGAGCCAGCCTTTCGTACTCCCGTATCTGCCCGTCGTGGGTTGGCACGAGCCTGGGAAATCTGCTCTGCAGCTGGGCAGCCACGGGCCGCCTTAAAGCTTCTGTCCTACAGAACAGGGGTCCTGAGCCAGGGACACTTTTGTTCTTGGGACACTGGACAGCGCTGGGCATCATTTTGGGTTTGGTGAGCGGAGATCAGGATGCTGTAAATATCTTCTCGACACAGGACAGCCCCCAGCATGAGGAATGGTCTCACCCAAGACGTGTGCAGTGCCAGCATGAGAAAGCCCACTCTGAAGAATGGGAGAGTGGAGGCTCGAGGCCCCCCAGGGACTGCCATGCAGGCAAGGCGAGAGCAGGGCTGGGGAGCCCTCTTCCAGGCCAAATGGTTGTTGGGAAGCGGGGAGAGCCGGGGGCCCAGGGTGTTAGGAGCAGGTATCAGGAAACTCTCGTTTTTCATTCCATATGTGGAAAAGGAGATACAGGTTCTGAACAAAAATGCACATTGAGCAAAGTAGGCCTGCATCGGGGACAGAAAACAAAATCCTCACGCACTGTGTTACTGAGGCCATCGGGTGTCAATGCTGATTTTCGCTGCAGGCCAGTGCCTCCCTTCGCCAAAGCGCCTGGGGTCACTTGAATGGGCGGGAAGATGCAGCGGTGGAATGAGGGGAAGGCAGCGCTCCAGTGCTGTTACTAGCCTACCTCGATGGTGTGGGATCAGTGGGACTCTCAGTGTCTAGTTCTACATTCCGCACCTTGGGTTCTGCGCCTTGGGGAGCCCGCGAGAACAGGGGGCTGGTGGGGCCAGCACTTAGGCATCCTCTGGCTCCCCGCGGACTGTCCCAGCTGGTTGGTGGCTTTGAACATTGTGTCTTTGATCCTGACATTCAGGAAGCTAATAGCCAACGGAGCTACTGTAAATTGTGGGGACTTGTTGATAAAGCCTGGCTAGGAGCTCGGGAAAAGGAGGACAGAGGAATAAGAAGCCTATGGGGTGATCAGACAGGTGTGAAGGGACTCTTACAGCTGGGAGAAAGTCTGCTTCTCCAAGTGGACCGCAGTCAATCGACACTTTGGCCATTAAAGGTGAAATCCGTGTAAATCTTTAAAAAAACTGTTAGTAATGATGACAAAACACACAAGACAAGATTTACCAACGTATCCATTTTTTAAGTGTACATTTCAGTCGTGTTGAGTACATTCACGGCGTAATACAGCCATCACCGCTGTCCGTCTCCAGAGCTCTTTCCATCTTGCAAACCTGAAACTTTATATCCATTAGACAGTAGCCCCTGGCCCCTAGCTCGCAGCACCTGGCTGTCACCATTCCTGTGGCTCTCTGAGTCACAGGTGCCGTGTAAGGGGAGGCACGCAGTGTTTGTCTTTTGTGACTGGCTTATTTCACTCGGCACAGTGTCCTTGAAGTTCAACTATGTTGTAGCCGGTGTCCGAACTCCCTTCCTTTTGAAGGCTGAGTAATATCCCTTTATATGTATATACCTCATTTTGTTTGTCAATTCATTTGTCAGTGGATTGTCGTTTCCACCCTTTTAGTTATTGTGATATATATTATAGTATATATTGTGATACGTTCGTTTATAATATGATGTGTTATTATGACATGTAAGTATATAATATAATGCTATAGCATATGATAATAGTATGAATAATATTGCTGTGAACATGGGCGTATACATATTTCTTCAGTCCTTTTTTAACCCAGAAAAATATCCAAGGATAAAGGCAGTTTATTTTCTCCTAAGATCATGGGGCTTTGGGAAGGATGGGCAATGTTGTGGGGAGAGGAGGTGCCCCATGGACATAGCGAGAACCTCGCAAAACGTTAGAAAGGACCAAGTTCCTGGGGTGCCTGGGTGGTTCAGCCAGTTAAGCATCTATCTGACTCTTGATTTCAGCTCAGGTCATGATCC